GATTCGGGGCACTGACGCACACACGGCTCGTTCCAGCTGTCAGCGAGGGGCTGGGGGCGGTAGACGCCGCCGACAGAGGTGGAGCACAGGTCGTAGCAAGACATCTCGCAGGGATGGAGGCAAGCTGCAACACACACTGATAATTAGACTAAGTAGAAGACAAAGACTTCAAAATTCAAGAGTTTACATTAAAATAATGAGTCAAGTATAGGATTTTGAGGAAATAAATTGATTTCCCACTTTGCAATCATAAACCTCTTTTTTCAAAAAGCAGATTTTCGAAAACTCTCTAAAAAACATCTACACATACAAAGGCGTATGGGAAACGTTATCCCTGGCTCTGAAAGCGTCGTCCCTCACGAATACCCTGCGAAGAACTCTGGTGCATTTCTACACATTAAACTGAAAACTGAGAAGCAAAACCAGAGAATGTAAAGTGACTTTGTCCATGGTCATTTGATGAGTCAGTAGGAAAACTGAGGAATTGGGTTCAGCACGTTTACATGAGATGTAGTTTATATACACCTTAATTACAGTAGCTTCTTCTTCCCACTCATCCCAATTTTGCTGAGAGTTGTAAGAACAGCAGATTATGGGATTGTCACTGCCCAGATTGCTCAAAAAGCCATTTGACAAGACAATAAAGCAGTGATGGCAGTGTTATTATCCCAATTCCCACCTACGCAGCTACTGTATGGATACAGCCTGGACAATTTCAATATAAATCAGCATTTTAGTCCCTAACATCTTTCAAAAAACTAATTTCAAAATATTATTCCCAGGAAAAACCAGGACTCCTTGGTAAACCCAAGAATTCAATCTATATTCTCCCCTCTGAGCTTACTCTCCAAGAGTGATTTACTCTTCTGCACTCACTGTCCCCTGCACATCCTTAGCAGCGTTCTGAGGAAGAATACGAAAGAAAGTAAAGGGCAGCCAGAAGATTTGCTGTACCAGGGCAACACACTCAACTTTCTCAGACGTATCGCTTGTCATCTCAGATTGCACCAGTGGCTGAAGTCGTGACGCTCTTATTAAACGTTGAACTTCATAACAGGCAAGCTTTGCAATAAGTTAAATGTATTGAAATGGGGGCAGTGCTATGCATGTCCCACTCTTCCTGACACTGAGAATTCCACCGTGCCCCATGCACCAGGTAGGGGTATCTGCTACCCCAGAGCCAGCATTAGAACCTCTGTCCCAAGGCAGCGCAGATACACTCAACAGTATGGATGGTGGATGTCAACTGAAGTCAAACCCAGCACTAAAAAGATACCTTGATAGCAATAGAGAAGAGTCAGACTTACCCAAGTCACCAAGAAGTCAAGGGAAGCGTTTGGAAGAGCTATGAGAGAGAAGGGCTTTTATATCAGAGCAGCTGGAGGTACAAGATCAACACTGGTTGCCCGCCCCAATTCCAAAGATGTGTAACCTGTTGACATGACGAAATTGCTGTGTTTGTTATTGGAGTTTATGAGTCCTTTCAAATTTGTTTGTAATAGGACCTAAACATTACTTTAGATTATATAGAATTCTTTCATCTTGCAACTTGTTGGGGAAAATTAATACCTGGTTTTATTCCAGTCACTTTCTTGAAATTACAACAGGAATTATTAGCCAGCTCCTTTTGCATTAATCTAACACCTGAGAGTCTCTCATGGGTTTATCAGAATTACAAACTGCTGTCATGGACAGGATTTTTGTTTAAGTACATATAATTCCCATTACAACCTGCCAGGACAGAAGTTACAGGCTGCCGGTGTGATATGCAGGAAGGCTGGGGGTGGTTTCTGCACGTTTAGCTCCCGCACCTGCAGGTAGGGGACACAGCACCCTTGGGAGCCAATGGTGTTTTTCAGTAGCACTTGACACTGGCCATAAGAAGGAATATTCAGCTCCAAAGAGCAGCAGCAATTCCAGGGACCGGCAACAAGTGCTTCAGTCACTAAATAAGGCCTATATGGAAATTGAAATTTAGCTTTGCGCAGAAAAATTGTGAAATCCTTTGTTTTGAAGAGCTGGGAACTCTCTTCATGTAGATATGATCTGCATCAGTGTCTCCATCCATCAGTTATATTCTCTTACAGTCATCAACTCAAACTGTTGGATTCTCTCACAAAAATGTGTGGGGTTAAATCTGTACAATTTTCACATAGGAGATGGAGACAAAGTCTTTATCTTCCTGGGGCTTGCTTTTGGTTTTTAAGAGAATCATGGAGCGCATTTCTGAACTTAACTAAAGCTACAAAGGCATTGGAGATCCCAAAGAGAATTTTTCCAGGTATTGTTGGTTTGATGTTGTCGGTGCAAAGCCGGTACGTGAGTATATTTAATAGGCCTGAGGGAACCTAAGCTTTTTCAGTACAAATGGATCCTCTGGTGCAAAATTTGAGGTGTGACAGAAATGCTTTGAATTACTGACTTGGATTCGCAGGAATTCCTGACCTCCTGTAAGACAGTATTGCTGCAAGCCATAAATCCAGAACAGGGCTGAGCTGGCAGTTTCTGCAAACAGGGAACAATTATGAACTTGGAACGCACAACACAAAACAAAGGCTGGGTCTTCCCTTGTTTATAGATGTGTTATTTTAATACGGCAGACTCTATGCCATAGATGATCTCTAAATTACGAGGTGGGTTTCTCAGCCTTTGAGGTGGTTAGAAGGGGTTTTTTGGACAATAATATTTTCAAGCTTCTAGGGAACAAGTCTTTTCAAATGCTGCAAACTATCCACTAATGCTTTGAGAATGCATTCTTACATTTAAATTAAAGGCAGGTACCTGGATTTGCCTAGCAATTAGGGAATGACATCACGTTAAAACATGCAAGTCAAGGTATTTGTGTCATTGGTATAATCAGTTCATGGCTGAATACTGGGGATTTGCGCATCTCCATTTTTTTCAATATGGAACGAAATATAAACTTTTGAATAAAATACGGCATTTCATAACGCTTAGGGATGGGGTTTGGTGGTGGGATGGCAGGGCTAGGGTAACGGTTGGGCTTGATGATCTTAGAATCATAGAATCACAGAATTGTTTAGGTTGGCAAAGACCTTTAAGATCAAGTCCAACTGTTACCCTAACTCTGCCATCCCACCGCTAAACCCTGTCCCTAAGCAAGGGCTTTTCCAACCTAAACGATTCTGTGATTCTATGATTCTATAATCTGTATAATCAGCATATCTTTATCATTTTTAGTTGCACATCAGACCACAGAAACAGAGAATTTAATTATTTTCTCAAGATGTTACAATCCCATCAATGATCAGCCTTTATCCCTGGAAACAATTTCTCTGTCTCTATTGTAGTGTATACCCAGACAGCTTTAGCAAGTTGCTGCCCTCATTTTAATTTCATTTCTCAGTAGTCTTCAACATTGCCTGGTCTGAAGATGGACCTAAAAATGGATCCCTGAAGGCTTTGTATCAGGAGACAGAAAACTGGGAAATGTGGGTGCCAAATGCTTCACAAAGAAAGTGCCTTCAATCTTGAGAACAGAAAGGGTAAGTGTTAGTTTGCCTCTAGACTCCAACCTGGGCTGAAATACAGTGAGAGACCTGCTAGAAAAGTCGGATTATTTTAAAAGAACATTCTACCTCTGCCCTCTGCTTTACATTTCATTGGTCTTCTTCCTTGGTTCTAGAATGATGGTCCAAAGGACTTGGCAGTGTTTGAGAAAAGGGCAGAGTATTCCGTGGCTGAACGCACAGCAAAACAAGAGATATTTCCTCAAGCCCCTCGTCCATTAGATGAGGCCAGTACTGTGTTCAGGAGCAAAAGCCAAACGAGAAAACAATTTAAGGACAACAGGACGTTTTCTATGGCTTCCTTTGGGTGCAGTATTGGTCTCACATTGAGCAGCTGAGAATGCACGTGATAAAGGTAAAAACAATGACCCCAAAGTCGTTCTAGTGGATGCCATTTTATCTCCAGGTATCTTATAGTCTGGATTTAATGGAAAAATCCATGCACGTGAGGTGACCACAGCCAGGCAGTGAGCAGCCAGGTTTTGCCACTAATAATGGAGAAGCTAAGGAAGAGCATTAGTATAATTCTTGTAACGCCAAGGATGCGAATGGAATGATAACAGGAATGAATATGCCGTGTAACAATCTGAGATGAAAGAGGCTTCTGTGATGAAATGCGCCTATCGTATTTCACGAGACTTCAAGCCAACAAACGAACAAATAGTCAGCAAAACTTTGAGGACTTACGTGTCGTATTAGTTTTGGGTTTGCCCCAGTTATGGACATGCATAAATTGCACCTTCAGTGATCCCCATGACCTAGGGAACTGTATAAAAGCTCTCCTGGCTCAGGGCTCTTCATTCCACCTTGCTGGCTTTATTCGCCTCCGTGGAAACGGTAAGCATCATTCTATGCGATCTTGTTCCTAAGATTCATGCATCTCTCTCCTGCCAATTTTAAGTAAGGTCGGAATCATCCATAACTGTTCCAAGTTTCTTAATAATGTTGGATTATTTCACCATGAATTTATTTTTCTTATTTGGTGTTGGATATCCATGTATTCAGGTTTAAAATGGTAAAACGAGGTTTTTCAAAAATTATTCAGAAATTCGAGCTATCAGAGCAGCTTCTGAAACAGCAGGAGGTTTGTGCAATCACTTGGAATTTTTTAAGGGTTTTGCATGTATCTTTTTGGTATGTGCCTATGTATATGCATGTATTTGTTGAGGGGACAAGCTTAACCAAGAAGAATATAGAAGTATTGTCTGAAGAAGTATTGGAAAACAGGGATGAAACTAGGAAAACCTAACCTACCTGTCCCATTGTCCTTGCTTTGAGCGGGGAGTTGGGCTAGATGACCTCCAGAAGTCTCTTCTAATCTAGTATTTTATTGGTTCTAGTGGGGGGAAAAAAAAATGTTGACAGGTGGTACTGATTCCTGGTCCTTCCATGGGTTTTCTTTTACATTGGATCAGATCCTACGGTGATGTTGTTTCTGAAGAGCTCATATCCCATCATACCTATCTTCAGGAGAAACCTAGCACTACTTATCCGAGCGTACTAGTTTCCCATCTAGAAAATCAGACAAATAATCTTTGCATCCATCCTGTACCTCTCAAGGTACTTTGCAAGCACTTTAGGGCAGGGAATGACTTCTTTAATCCATGTTTATAGCAGGTTCAGCATACCAGCAGCAGGACCTTAGCTGTTGCTTCTGGAAGCACACAAGTCAATAGGCCAGAGCTGTTCTCCCAGCTACACATTAATTTGCCACATGAGTGTTGCTGGTTGTCAGGTTACACCGCTTTGGTTTTGCCAGCAGAAAGCAAATATGAAAGGACCTTCTAGACACAGATATTCTATGAGTGGCTGTGGAGTATAGCGGAAGTAGTTTGTAAAGTAGAGAGCTGGATAACATTTTTGCAGTGTTTGATAGTGGGATAGAAGAGAGAACTACTTCCTGAAGGGAACTGAGTATAAAACAATTAGAAATGAGGCCGCAGAGGAGATGACTGCTCAGTGTGCAATCTGGGCAATGCTGATTTACAAGAGAGAGATGTCTCATTAAAAATACTGCAGAGAAGGAAGGACAATCAAGACCTGAAAGATAAAGCCTTTATTCTAGTCCGTGTGTCCAGCTTTCAACCTCTTTGAATTTGTGCCTTTCCTTTACTCATCGGTGTGTGTTGCAGCTTGCCTCCATCCCTGCGAGATGTCTTGCTACGACCTGTGCTCCACCTCTGTCGGCGGCGTCTACCGCCCCCAGCCCCTCGCTGACAGCTGCAACGAGCCGTGTGTCCGTCAGTGCCCTGACC